GCACTTCGCTCTCAGACTGCAGGCTTACTCGCGGGTCCTAGAGTTCCCAAAAGCAGAATGGGAGGAAGATCTTTCAGTTATCAGGCTCCTCTCTTGTGGAACCAACTTCCAGTTTCTGTCTGTGAGGCTGACACATTGTCCAGTTTTAAGACTGGGCTTAAGAATTTCCTTTTTCATAAATCCTATATTTAGGGTTGGCTTGTTATGCTGCTGTAGGCTTAGACTACAGGAGGACAAACTAACCTAATTTCCTTAAATGAATTGTTAAAATTAAATAGTTTCCATCCGATACTATTTCCATCTTAACATGTGATTCTCGACCTGCCATTGTGTATCTGTTCTTCTCAAACCCAGCCGGTCGAAGCAGATGGCTGCTTGTCCTGAGCCTGGTTCTGCTAAAGGTTTCTTCCTCATGAGGGAGTTTTTCCTTTCCACTGTCGCCTTCATGCTTGCTCAAGATGAGAGTTTTGCGATGGAGTTAAATTCAAAGCAGTCTGCTCCTCAGATAAATGATGTTAAATTATTATTTTTATATATGAATGTTTCTATTTAGTGCCCTGAGATGACTTCTGTTGTGACTTAGTGCTATATAAATAGACTGAATTGAACTCCACATATTCAACCTTAATAATTGAAGCCTAGCAGCAACCGTCACCTCTTATACAAAGATTCAAGGTTCTTTGTCATTCCACCACATGTGACCTATTCAGGTCTCTCTTGTAAATGAGTCCCCGAGGCTCAATGGGATTAACCTGTGTAAATAAAGATTGAATGAATGTGGTACTTATGGTGGAACAAAATTGTGTACACAGGGTCCCAGTTACATCCAACAAAAATATTAAAATCTAAAATAAAAACTCTAATAAGGTCTAAGATATGAACTATGAAAAACTTGAATTAAAAATACACTATTAATGTTTTTCTTAGTTCATGTTTTAGATCTTATTACTGTATACAACTGTACTTCTCCTAAGCTCTTTTTCCCCTCTTCTGACCTCACTCGTTCATAAAGAAATGGAAAGGAGAGGGCAGCTCTGGAAATATTTGGCTCCATATTAATTACTGCCTTTCGTGTCTTTTGCTTTTTTTGGCAATTATGACTTTCACAAAGGGCCAAATCTTCACAGGACAGACCAGGCATTCATTCTGAGTGGATCCTACACAACTTACAGGGGAAATAAGAAAGAGAGATACCCAGTTGGACTATAAGCTTAAAGAAAAGATCCCACTGTGGCAAATTATAAACTTTTTTTTTTTTAAGTCTTTAGCATTCATTATTGTGGAGAGTAAGCTGGGTCTTGTTTGCCCCACCTGCAGTGCTAAGTATAAAAGCTCACAGAGAGCTGAGCTTGTCAGCATGACACTAATTGGCATAAATGTAATTGTTGCATTTCTTTATACGTTTGACTACAGAGCTAGAGGAATGGGGTTCACTTTTTTTTTTCACCCTGCTCTGTGTGTTGGAGTTTGTGTACACAACGAGAGGGTGAGGTAATTTAGGGTGGAAATGGCTGCCATGGGTTTTTGTTTAGTTGGCAGGAAAGGTGATGAGGGTGTGCCACTGAGGTCAAAATATATAAAAAATAAAGTTGTTTCCCGTCAGTTATTACTAAACTTTTTTTTACCGTACACTTTTCTCACTTTACTCTGCTTTCCCTTCATTTCCACATCTTTTCTTGGCAGAAAATTTGGAACAACTGAGCAACGTAAAGCAATTTTACTAGTTATTTGATTAGAAGTCAAAACTTCCAAAATCTTGTGAAACTTGCATTTTTCAGTGTAAGTGAGCTTCCAACTTGGCTCCTGCCGACAACCATTTTTATTTCACCTCCTCCATCATCAGCAATTTACTTTCCTGCCTTGACAAACTTTCATCCTTCAGAATTACCACCACAGTCTGGGTCAGAACAGGGGAGGAAAAGAGGGCACAAGTGTGGAGCGTTTATTGGTCGGACAGATTTCACGGCTGTTTCATGCTACATTGCCCATTAGTGTTTTATTTGGCTCTGACACTGAATAAAATAAGTTTGAAACAAGGTGGTTTTGGAGTGGGAGTATTGATTTAAAGGACTCATCCAAAGGGGTGTGGGTTTCCATAGACGGACACTCGCAGACGGTTTTCCTGGCTTGTAATAATTACCATAAAAAATTATTTAATCTCCGTCAGGCCCATCAGTTTTCCTGTGTGTGTTCTGAGACCAGTTTTTGCTTATTCAAGCTTTCCTGTCATTTCTTACGGCACCACCTCAAATTATTTTACAATAAAATTGAAGTTTGATTTAATGTAAAGAGTGGAAATCCTTCTCCAGCACCACAGATGTAAATTTTGGGTTATTTTGCACTGGTGAAAGTTACTAATGATATTCTCATGGCCTCTGACAATGGACGTGTGTCTATACTGGTCCTGTTAGACCTCAGTGCTGCATTTAATACAGTTGATCACAATATTCGGTACCACTTTACAATAAGACTCCCCTTATAGATGCTAATAAATAGTTTATAGATACATTATTAAGTCCTCTATAAACACCTTATAAATCATTAATAACTGTTTATTATGCATTAATTAAGAGTGACAGAGAGGCAAAACTGACCAGTTTATTGCCAAATAATGAGCCAAATCTGTTCACCTATGCATGTCATCTAGAGTTGTTATATTAAACATTTCAGACTATGTCACTACCTTGTAAGCACAATAAGCACTTGTTAAACAAATTTTGTTAGGATATAATATTAGCTGTAGATACTTATAATGCTGTGATAAAGTAAAATAATATATGCTAAAGAAATAAGTTTACAAATGCTTATTGTGCTTACAAGGTAGTAACTTAGTTTGAAATGTTTAATATAACAACTCTATAGATGAAATAAAATATATAAGTGAACAGATTTGGCTCACTATTTGGCAAGAAACTGGTCAGTTTTGTTTCTGTCACCCTGAATTAATGCATAATAAGCAGTTATTAATGATTTATAAAGTGTTTACAGAGGAATTAATAACATCTATAAACTGATTACTGGTATTATCCATCTATAAGGGGAGCCTTATTGTAAAGTGGTACCCAATATTCTATTACAAAGATTTGAATATGATATTAGAATTACAGGAACGACTCTAAATTGATTTAAATATTTTATCTGATAGATTCCAATTTGTAAATGTAAATAATGAATCTTCTTCATACACCAAAGTTAGTCATGGAGTTCCTCAGGGTTCAGTGCTTGGACCAATACTCTTTACCTTATATATGCTTCCATTAATTCTGTGCTACAATAAACTCTTTAATGTTTCTGTCTGCACCTGGCCTGTTTAGAACTTAATTGCTGTTATTTTTTGTATTCTCTGTTGTTTTTTTATATAATGTATGATCCCTTGTGTATGTTCCTTTGTCCTGAAATTCTGGCACAACAATTTCCTGCAGGATCAATAAAGTTCTGTCTTCCAATAATTCTCAGTCAGGTCATCTGGACATCTTATTAGGTAAAGTTATTAAACAACATGGGATACGTTTTCATTGTTATGCTGATGATACACATTTATATTTATCATATTTAATAAAATAATTGTTTTAAAAAGTTAAAACCTAAGCCCTGATTTTGCCTACCGGTACTTGCTTTTTACTGCTAATACACATACTAGGCAGCCTTTCTCCCCCTCCATAATACTCGGAGGATATACAACGTGTCTGTCAGCGGGGTGGCCATTGAGCGAGGGGGCCCCGACAAAACCGCCACTTAGCCCAGCGCTGGGCTGGCACAAAGGGCTCAGGTCAGGGGTCACCTGGAAAGCTGGAGCTCCCCACACCCTTTTCACATGCTTTTTTTTTCTCACTTTGTCTTTCTCTCTCACTCAACCCCCTCTCTCTTCCCGCCTCCATCCCCTCCGTCCCTCTCGCTTCTGTTTTGCAGGTCTTCTGGGCCCATTGTCTGAACGGCCTCTTCCACTCAGTCATCCTCTTCTGGTTCCCCCTTAAAGCCTTCCAGCATGGTTAGTGGCTCCCAGAGACTCCCCCACGGCTCACAGTGGACAGGATAAAAAGGGAAAATGGTCCAACACACATACTCTGTCTTAATTACTGCTCTCTTCAACTGTCCATTCATGAATTGCAAGCATGTGGCCTCTGATCTGAGTGAAATGCTATAACTAGCATGTGTTCATGTTTGAACCAGTTCTCTGCAGTCACAGGCATGTAATTTATCATTTGCATCCTACAGATGATTCTTTTAGTGTCCATAAGTATGCGTTTATGGAGAAAAATGGCTTTATATCATGTCAAATCTATTTCATTCCAAAGGAACTTAAGATGTGTGAGTTTGTAGATTTAAAAATACAAAGTTTCTGGGTGTGTACGAGGAAAATTGAGATTCTTTAGTTTGTAAGTCCTGGCTGGCCAGAGCTGAGGACCACACAAGTTTGGGTCTGCTTTTCAAACAAAGGCGCCGAGCCCCTTCACTCGGACTGACAGGCTGTCAGCAAAGCCTCAGCGCACACCAGACATGTGACCAGCCGGAAGTAGAGGGGAGCGGAGCCGCACCTTCTTCGTCTCCTGGCACTCGCACACTGTTGATATTTCAACCGCAGCACAAACTCACGTTAATGTTTGGAAGCAATGCGTCTGTGTGATCATGTTTATTTTAATCCTGTTGTAAATTAAGTCTGTTTTGTTGACCTAAAAAGTGACCAGTCTGCTACAGAAAGATATTTGTTCACTCTAAATCAATGAATTAGCCAGGAAGTTTATTTTCTATTATGATGTTTGCTAGTTTATAGCAAATTATTTTACCGAACTGCAGCAAATACATGATTAACATTCCAGCTTTACTTTAAGGTCTGTGATAGAAAATAGACATTAAAAAACGTCTTATTTTTCCTCTGCATTTAAGTGAGGCACTTAAAGTGATATCAGGTGTGTGCTCTGTGACACGCTGAAAGAAAGACAGTGATCTCGCTCTAAAAGCCTTTTCTGCTGATTTTCTCAACAGATACCGTGTTTGGCAGCGGAAAAACTCCAGACTATCTCCTCTTAGGCAACATGGTTTATACAGTAAGCCCATCAGTCTTTTTGACATTTTGCTGATTCCAGTGTTTGTAACGAAATATCAGAAACATTTTATTTTCTTGTGTCTTTCATTTGTTAATTGAGATTCTGTCAACCACTTTACAAAAAGTTACAAAGAGCTCTAGATACATTTTTTAAATAAATATGATTTAGTTCCATAAAAAACACAAGTAAACAAAAGTCTGGTGTTCGGTGACGTTGTGGTTTGTGCCTCTGCAGTTTGTGGTCATCACAGTTTGTCTTAAAGCCGGTCTCGAGACCTCATCCTGGACCATGGTAAGTTCAGAACTTTTACTTTCACTCGTTAAAGTTCTGTGATCAGATTTCAGTGCGGTTGTTTAATATGGCCGCTGATACTTGTGACATGTTTTACATACTTTCTGTATCTCTAAATCTCTTTACGGTTTCCTCCTGGGAGGCTTGTAACAGTAAAACCAGTGAAATGGATGGAAAGTCATTCAAGTCATCTTAAGGATGACAACAAATGACAGCAAAGCTCAACAAATAGTAAAATTTATGGACGATGCAATTTGAACCTTCAGTACAATAATAAATAAAGACAAATAAAATGTTTTGCTTTTTTTTTCCCCAACAGTTCAGTCACATCGCCATCTGGGGTAGCATCATCCTGTGGGTGGTGTTTTTCCTGATCTACTCCTCCCTGTGGCCCCTCATAACTCTGGCACCTGACATGTCAGGCGAGGTAAACAAATGCTTTCATGTGGTTGGATACTTTCATATATGCATACATGCCTGCTGCATTTCCTCATTCGCTGGTAAAATCATCTGACCTTGATGGGCCTGTAGCACCTTCTAGTTCAGTTTCTGCTGGTGGGAACGTTCTAAGAAAAACTTCCAAGTCGGGTCAGTGCAGTGTAAACTGTCAGACTTCTGGCTTGTGTTGCTTAATGACTTAATTGGGCCAATTTGTCTCGGTGTTAGTGTTACGTTTCCCTCTCCCAGCTCTGAGTATCTACAGGTGACACCGAAATAATGAAGGTGTCTGCTAATTAAAGTAAGAAAAATGAGGTCAACAGAAGTCCAAAACATCTACAGTCTTATCACAATCAAACAGAGTTTAAATAATCTTTATAGTTTATTAAATACTAGAAATATTCAAATATGAAGTTTTCTTTTACAAGGTTTTTTTTTTAACGTCAGAATGTGGCTAATTTACTGGTTCACTGCAGGTGCTCGTGAGGATAACGTTCGACATTTCCCAGTGCCGTCTGGGGGAGGCGTCTTTTCATTAAAGAACAAGAACTCAGTAGGAGGTTATTAGGGAAAAGGGCTGCTTAGAACCTGCAGAGGAAGAAAATAACCTCTTACAGTAAATATTGTCTAGTAAATATTGTCTAGGATGCTGGTAAACAGATTACATCATAGTTAATACTTGTGCCTGAACATTGTAAAAACAGAACTATCTGTCTCAGAAATAGTTCTTGTTGGACATATAATTCGAATTGCATTTGGGCCCTAAAAATCATACCCGGCCCCAGCCCGTAGCCATCATTTCCGAACCCCTCTCAACAAATTAATAGTAATTACAGATCTGAACCCGACCCCCCCCCCCCCCCCCCCGACATTTTTTTATTAAGTTTTGACTGCTTATTATAGTTATTAACGATCAGCGGATGCGCAAGGCTGAAGGGGTTTTTGTCCTTTCATGGCTATCAAAGCGCATTAAATCCCTGCTTCTGCCTGCATTCTGCATTATTCAGACGCGGACCCCGCTCTGACATGTTGAATATTTTGGGCTCTCACCTGTTTGGGTCGTCAGCCGCGCACATCCGCTAAGTGCAGCATCTGAAGCTTAACTAAACTATTCTTTTACCCCTTTCAAGGCTGATCAGCATGCGGTCAAATAGCTGATGATTGTATGGAAAGCCATGTTGTCATATAATTGGATCTTCAGCTGCACACGTCCGCTGACGCAATCAAAAGCCCGACACTGGCCCGGCCCGCACATTATTATGGCCCGAACCAGATCTAATCCGGGCTGAGCCGGGTTCGGGTTAGAAATGATAGCTATACATATAATTACATAAAACTAATTTTAAAAAGAGGCTGTTTGTCTTAAACAGAAATTTCTGTCTCAGGGATAGTTCTTGTTGGACATATACTGGTAATGACATAAAACTAATGTGAAAAAATAGTCTGGCTGTTTGTCTAAAGCAGAAATGTTTCATTTCAGTTCAGTTTATTCATATAGTGCAAAATCAAAACAAAAGTCAAAGGTCCAAGCACTGAACCCTGAGGAACTCCATGACCAACATAATGTAATGATGAAATGTGAATGGCAAGGCTTTGAACTTCAGATAGAATCTCGGCGTTTGTTTAGTTTTGCTGTGGGACCACTACAACAATATTTTTTTACATCTTGGATGTGCGCTGGGTATTTGTATGTTCATGAGCTAATAAACAACAAAACCACTTGCACATGAGCAACGTTGCTCTGTTTTTCCCTCAGTCCCACGCACACACAAGCAACAGGTATGTTGGATCCATCCAGTCCTCTGTCTGCACATCCTGCTGCTTTCATCCATGCCCTGCAGCAGCTGACTGAAGACAGTAATGGTGTCCTGTGGGCAGATTGTAACTCTATGCCCAGCTCTAATTCAGGGATGCCAGTATATCATCAAACAGTGACACATCCCTCTGTAAACTGAGAACACATCAGAGACCTAATCTCCTCTGGCCTCTGAGGAGCAGGTTTATCAGTGCGGTCCTGCATATTTCTCCACGGCCTCTTCAGTGTTTACCTGAGTCTTCAGAAAATATTTGCCCTCTGTCCTTCAAACTATTTTCTTTCTTTCTCAACATTTCCCTCTGTTCTTTCTTGTTTCACCCCCACTCGGCTCTGCTGGATGAACAACGGCCCGAGGGCCATCTGCAAAACAGACACCAGAGCTCTTTCTCCTGTTTCTGTTCCCACTCAGTACCCAGCTCGCCGCTCTTAACAAGAAACACTGAGCAGAGCTCGGCTTCACGAGAGCACATTAATCAGTGCCGGGCAAAATGTTCTTTGGACAAATGAGGCAGCAGGTGCAGGATCCATCCGTAAAACGCTCTGAAACAGCAGGTCTGCTGGTCCCAGGTACTCCCAGACAGGCTCAACCTCTCATCCTGTTTTCTCCTGACAGAAAGTCCAGCACAGATATCAAAGAAAATGTCAGATTACTCCGTTCAGACTGTGTAATCTGCCTCACTAAGAGGCTTAGCTTCACCTCAGGAGATGATTTACATCGGCTCGGCTGCTCTGGCCTGCTGGCTGCTGAGGTGAGGTGCCACTGATAGCAGCATTCATGTTTTCAGTATTTATTCTCCTCCCTCCTGACACACACTGCTGCTGTTTGTCAGTTCCTACTGGAAGCTGTTTCATAGCTCTGTCAGACTCAAACATCTGTCATCAGCTCATGAATTTGACCCCCGGCTTGTGTTCATCAGAGTCTTCCAAAGCAATAAACGCTTTTTTGAGAACAGAATTCCTTTAATAAGTAATTTGATGTGTAGCAGGTCAGGAATACACTTTGTGCTATTTGTTTGTTTGCAAACTATTGATGGAAATGAATGAATGAAACAGAATATCAGTTTGTAAAACTGGCAAATATTATTTATGATCGTTTTACCCGACTGCTTTATATTTTGGGTCAGTTTAGGTCAAATTTAAAGTGTTTCTTTTGGAAATGTTTTTGTTTATTTCAGCCTCCATCTTCGTCCACCTATTAATCTCTTTACTCCTGTTTTTTTTTCTTTTTCTTGTTGCAGTGTACAACAGCAGCGTGAACTGTGCCTTTACTGTTTTTACTTAGAAAAACATGTTTGAAATGTTTTGAGAAATGTATTCTATTAATTCTGTACTATGTATATATTTTACTCCATTTGGGAAGAAAATAGAAGAGCTGCTCAACAGCAAGACGTCAGTCAGCTCACTTTTATCAAATATTGTTAAAAACAGATATAATTTATCCAAACAATATGCAGAAAAAAAAACGCACAATATTTTGTTGTTGTTGCAAATGACTTTAGTGCCACATGAGCCTTTTCATTGTGGAAGGTGATGTTGGTGTTAAAGATTTTACTTAATTGTGGTTGATAAATTTCCAAAGTCCACTATTATTTTTGGTTTTCTGCATACTCACCCTTTCATTTTCCCAAATGCGTGCTTTTATTTCTACACATTTACAAAAGCAGCACAGAGGAAGTGTAATTCTTGTTTCAGACAGATTATCTATCATCAGTTCTGTGTAGTTTTAAGTTTTAGCTGTTTATTGTTCTTTGCAATGGACCTTAGAGGGTGTTTGACAGTTGAAAAGAAGCTGCCGAAATTCCTCAAAACAATAAAAACAGTCTTCTGGTGATGGATGTGGTTGTCTGTCACAGAGGTTGTAAACATGGATGCTATATAATGCCTCTTTTTGTTCATTTATCATGCAGCGCACTTAGGTATCCTTCACAAAACAGTTTTAAAGCAGTAGATATACGAGGAGAGACGACACATTTGATTACCGTATTTTCCACCGTACACGTCGCTCCGCCCTATAAGTCGCATCAGTCCAAATATGTGTAATAAAGTGGAAAAATCCATAAATGCGTCGTTTCGCCGTATACTCGCATCTATTATGCGTCACCGCTGACTTGTCGCGTTTGTTACGTGTCACCGCTGACAACCTGGAAATGTGGGCCGGTGTGCCAAAAATTGATTGGCTGCCAAATGGCGGCCGCTAGAGCGTGCACGGGAGGACTTTAACAAGAATTTAACAAAATAACCACCTAAAAACAATTATTTGTTTGCTTGAAATTATAGCAAAGGTGTGTCTCAGTCTAACTTTTCCTTAATAAATGCACTTTGACAGTCAAATCAGCTGAATTTTCAAAAGCTGATACGCAGAAACGGGAATGCGCAGAGGGCGACTCGCTGTGCATTTCTTCAAAATTTAACAAGATAAGAACCTAAAACAATTATCTGTTTGCTTGGCATCATAGTAAAGGTGTGTCTCGTTTTAACTTTTACTTAATAAATGCACTTCAGTGGTCAAATTAGCTGCATTTTGCCGGGGAAATGAAGCTGATTTGATGGTTGCTCCAGGCGAGCTGGATGACGGTGGCAGGTTATGGCAAGCCGATTGTGCAATTAATAGCCACTTTTACCTATTACATGACACAACGGCATTCCATACTGCTCGAGTGCCATCTAGCGGCTGAAAATGGTAGTGTTCAATATTTTCAGTCAGAATGAATGAAAACGGTCATATCTCAGTCAAAAATTGGTTTATAAATATGGGGGAAATCCATAAGTAAGTCGCTTCAGCGTATAAGTCACAGGATATGCAAATTATGCAAAAAAACGTGACTTATAGGCCGAAAAATACGGTAATTGTAGAAAATGTTTGCAAAGACTGTTCAAAGACTGGTGGCATGTTTTTGTGTCTGTAATATCAGATGTTGAGAAATGTGACTGTGCAGACAGAAAAGGATCATTTTGAACAGATTGTACCACTGGTTGTTATCTGTGGTGTTTTGGGATCCTAACTGTTTTTCAGGGCTTGTAGGTGGGTGATTTTAGGACTTTTTATTCTTCTTGCACTCCCTTGACTAATGATTAATAAAAAATAAAAAAAGGATTATGCAGTAACTGTAATTAGTAATTTAGTAACTAAATAAAGGTTGA